TTAGCTTCACGTTTCATGCCTTAATGGTTTCTCATCGCGTTGTGGTGTGAGAAAGCTATTGGACTGATGTTCTGCAACTATCCAATCGGTATAGCAGGCACTGCGAGAGGCACTTATTCTGATATCAGCTTGGGAGTAATACCCCCCCCCCCACACACACACATATACCCACCACATCTAAGGGGTGTCCCAGATATGGAGGGATAGAGGCCGCTAGCCCTCCTCCCTCACGTCTCGTCCAGAGTGCACTTATCTGTGCGTGATCCCGTCCAGTGGCCTCGACTCCAGCTCCGCTCTGGGATTAATGGAGACCAGATGCTTTGAGATGCTAAGGAGTCGCCCCCCCCCCACCTTCCCCCAACTCAGCCAGCCTGGAACTTTCTCCCACACAAAGGCTTCCCTCCTACCAGTGAGGTGTAGGCCTCAGATGCCATGGCAACGGCCCAAACATGGGCCGACAGCAAAGTGCAGTGAGTGGCTCGTAAAGCACGCCGGCCAGGCATCGTCATGGCGGCATCCTGCTTTGTTTTCCGCCTGCTTCTCATTTAGACCCTCTTTCCGCCATGGTCCTTTCTGCCATTCTTCTGCCTCTCCCTTTTCTTTAAAATGGGCTGTTTGGCGAGGGTGCTGGGAATGGGGGTGGGCCGGGGGTTTTGGAGCACCAGGAACAGCACGGCTGAAATGGCCAGAGCCAACCAGGCACCACGCTGTGGTCACTTTGTACAGGAACATCTCTACAAGGGCATCGCGGTGGCAGCTGGCTGAGGTCGTCTACCTCCCACTTAGCGAGTCTGGGGGAGTTACACTGCCACCCAGTCACGTGATATCAATCACACACACACACACTTAGACACACACAGACACACACACACACTTAGACACACACAGACACACACACACACATAGACACACACAGACACACACACACATAGACACACACACATTTGTATACTTCCAGACACCTTCTGGACATGGGAAGATGCAAGCGTGACGGGCTGCCCCCTCCCCATCTACCCTCCAACTCTCTCACACTGTCTCTCTCTGTCTCTCACAGTCAAACATAGGAAATTAAAAGTGCGTGAGATGATAAGTGGAGCCTTACCCAGAGGAACCATTAGGGGGCCTGAAGTCACCTTTTATTCAGACACGCATATAAACATACAGGCACACACAAACACACACATATAAACATACAGGCACACGCAAACACACGCGCATATAAACATACAGGCACACACAAACACACACATATAAACATACAGGCACACGCAAACACACACGCATATAAACATACAGGCACACACAAACACACACGCACATAAACATACAGACACGTGCAAACACACACACACACATCCAGACTTAGAAACACACACACACACCTCCTCTCTTTCTGCCACACATACTTCTTTGTAGAAGGGCCTTGATCAGCTGAAATTGGGGATTATCTGAGTGCCGTTGCCCAGCAGCTTGGCGGCTTGCCCCCCCCCCCACTTCTGTAACTTGCACTGCCTCTGTCGGGCTCTGCTGCTGGTAATACTCATGCCGTGAAGCATGGACGCTGTCTGAGCTGATGCGCCTGTCGCCAATCAGTCTGAGCCACTCTCCTGGGGGTGGGGGACTCAAATGAATTTATAACATCCACGGCACACGCTGTGTGTGAGGAAAACTGCCACTGAGACACAGTGCTATGGCTGATCTGGGCGGCGGCGCCCAGCTGGCCTGAGGTGCGGGAATCACCAATGTGGTTTGGAAGGAATGAAAAAGAAAAAAGTAGAAAGGAATGTGCTACACAGGCTGGGATCGGCCAGCAGCCCCCCCAGGAGCTGGGGTTGGCTGGGGGTGCATCCCAGACAGCAGGGGATGTGTGCTTTAAACATCCGCTATACCCAAACTCCACTCATTAACCTCTTTGCTAATCCCCTCGTTAATCCCCTCATTAACCCCCCGTTAATTGCCAGATTTCAGGAAGTGATGCCGTCCTCTTGGTCACCGAGCCCATTGGCACTTGCATCATCACCCTGCTCCGGTGCTCGCATCATCACCCTGCTCCGGTGCTCGCATCATCACCCTGCTCCGGTGCTCGCATCATCACCCTCCTCCGGTGCTCGCATCATCACTCTGCTCCAGAGCTCTCTGTCCCCTGCTTCCCAGCCTCCCGTGTGTGAATGGGTGATGTCACGGTCCCTAAAGCCCACCTCCCCCATCGGGGCTTACCCCCAAGCAAAGGTTAATTAGCGAGCCAAGAGATAATTAAGCGTTAAGCTGCAGGCCTCTTGCCGATATGCATCTATAATAGAACTCTGTGGGTAACCTGAGCCGCGGGTGTAGCCAAGTCACACAGACCCACACACGCACCCACACAC